TTGTCCCCTGTTGCCCTTACACGTCTCACTCCAGCTCTGCCCCTAGCGCACCCACATTCCCCCGACTGCCTTTATCCCCAGTGGCTGTGTTCAGGTGGAACAGGCTTCAGCAAGTGCTGCCCTGCTGCTTCCTTACCTGTGCTAAACCTGCTGCCCCCATGGTGCCTGCGAGGACAAACTTGCGTATGTTGAAGGAAGAAGCAATGGGGCTCTGTTGAATTCTCAAGTTAACTTAGATAGAAGCTGATACCACCTCATCAGCTGCAAAATGTTAAAGCCATGCTGTTTGCATTCCCCACATTTGACATACAGAACAGACTTGCTTGCCCTGATGCTGGCTGTCTTCCTTCTTTCCACATAAAATAGCCTGGACTGGTGTCTGGGTTCCATCTTTACGAGTCTGACGATGTAAAATTAAATTTTTTGGTTGTGTTCCTGCTTGCCCAAACACTAAACCTTATTTTGTGGTGTTTGTTTAAAAAACAAAAAAATGAAAAAAAAAAACCCACCAAAAAAACCGCAAGCAACTTTGAAGGAAGTAACAGTTATTGTCCTCGTGTTCACTTACCAAAGGTAGTTGCCAGTGTTTAGTTTGTGAAGGAAGCTGTTTTCTAGGCAGATACTTAAGATTTTGACACTCTATACTGTCTTGCACTCAAGCCAGTTAAATAAAATTAGGGAAGACTCCCAGCCAAAACCAGAATTGTGACAACAATGAGATCATTAAAAATAAATGCTAAAGCATATAAGTCAGTGTGGGTTCAGCATGATCTGTTCTATCAGCCTTGTGTTAAAATTTGCTGAAATCACCCAAAATAATCTTACTGACTCCAGCAGGCTTTGGCTCAGTGTTTTCAGCAGACACAGCAGCACGGTGTTGCCCGCTACCTCCAAGAGGATTAGAGAAAGTATGATGGCAGTTTTTTCACATTCGCTTTTTCTACTCCTTACTCATTTCAGTCCCCCTTTTGCCTTTTCTCTTGTATCTGATCCTACAAATGCGTAAGCATGGGTGGACAAAAGAAAATTCCCTTGTCACCTTTTTGGGTTGTGGTTGCGCCCTCTAAAAATCAGAACGCAATGAAATGTAGCTTTTTGTACCTGCCTGTGGTTACCAGGACATGGATATGCCTTGCCATTCTTGTTTGCACTGGAGACAGTGCAGACCTCGCATCATTTGAATGCTCATTTAAAAACTCTCAGAAGGATTTTCCTAAACTTAAGCTGATGAACATCTTGTACCTGATGTCCATCCAGACTGATCATATTTCTGGTGAGCACCGCATACAATACAGTAACTTCACATGATCTAAAAATGGTGAGAACATACAAGAGGCAATACATGCACACGTGCATGTGTGCCACGTGTGGAGGCAGATGCTGAAGTGACCTAGTTTGGCTTTTGAGCGTGTGCTTTTTTGGTTTGTTGTCTTCTCTCTGTCCCCGTTACCTTGCCCCGCTTTGGGAGAACTTGGCTACCAAAACAGCAGCAGATTGCAGGAAGCCCAAGCAACCATATGATGCCCTGCACTCTGTGACTATAGATTATGTCAAATATAGAGGATGCGCTCAATTTATAGGGATGATGATGTGCAGATTAGTGTTCTTGAAAGGCATTACTGTGTATTTGGGAAGGGAAATGATGGCATGAACCACTGCAGGTTAATATGATTAGCAGATCAAAAAATCCAGGCTGAAGTTGGGCACCTGCTATCCGTTGTATTTCAATGGGATTTGGCCACGTAACTCTCTGGGGCTCTTTCTGATCTTTCTTCCTATGATGCACAATGTCTGTGAGCCATTTGCTTCCTTTATCTCTGTTCATACAGTTATCTGTTAGTATCATGTCAGCAGCTAGTGCTCCCTCCTACAAGATCAAGGTCTCTGCTGCACCCAGCAGAGTTGTAGGCCTGGAATTTTGCTTATGTTCGTGGTCCTCTGGGCCATTTTGCAGTGTAAGAGTTTCATACAGTGTAAGTTACATTTATTCATGTTTATGAGTAGTGACAGAGGAGCACAGAAACTGTCCTAAGTGACAAATCTAGCACTGAATCTTCAAAATGGTGTTAAAATCATCCATTATGATTAAATTCCTATCTCTAATCCTGGAAAATATATACTTGAATTATTTTTGAGCTTAAAAAGTTTTCAAGGCTGAGATTTTCACAGAAACTACTGGCTTTTTGCAGCAAAGTTGTAATTAAATTCTGGCAAGTTAGAATCTGGGGTTTTGGGGGGCTGGGGGGGATTTAAACCTGTTCCTGGAAAATTAAAACAAGAACAGAAACTCAGAGGCCATTTTTATTGCTGCTTTCCCTCCAGAAAAAAATACTCTGGTCTCCTCCCATCACCCGAGCTTCAACAGTAAACTTCAAAGACAAGCAAAGCAGGAGGATCTGTTGGTGATGATAACTCTGTGCTTCGATAGGATTAAGACGCTGTTTTTCTACAAATATTGGCCGCTTCTCTCAGCTCTAGTTATTCACTGGAACTACACTACTTGTAAAAATAATTCTGTAATGGTCCATGGCAGGTGTTACAAAAAGATGGAGCCATCTTTGAACTTTAAAGTAGTTTTGTCTCACTTTGGGAGTGGAAAGATGAATAATGTTGTAATGCCTGTGAGTGATACTGTGAAAAAGAAAGGGTTTTGATGCGTGCTCACCTGCTTTATTCGACCAGATGCCAAAATTACTTCTTTCTTGGGCTGTTTGCTTTCAGGCGCAGTACAGGTAGCTCTCCAGGTGAGAAGCTCTATCTTTAAAAAAAAGAAAAAAAACAACCAACTACACGCACTGAAAACCTAGCAAAATATTACGGAGATATACGTTTCCAGCGTGAGGGGGATTTACATGATCAAGTCAGACAAGGGGTGTAAACTCGTGGCAGGACGGGAATACAGATGCTACTGTGGAACTGTAATGCTTGTAAGCCAGCCCTCGGGCTGTGCTGTGCATCATGCAAACCTGGCGGTGATGCTCAGTTTGCTGTTGTGGTTAACGATACGCACTGCTCCGGAGCAGCACGTGTGTGTCCGTCTGCGGTGACCTCATGCTGCACGGTGATGTGGGGGGACATAATTTCCTTTGACGTGCAGGAACGGTGAGCCTGCTGGCCTGAGCACAGGGTGCAGCCCCTCGCAGGGTCCTACCTTTGCCAGAGGTGGCCAGCAAACTCCCAGAGGGGGAATTGGAGAGGGAGAGCTCAGGTGCTCATCTGTCCTGCTTCACTGTGTGTAGTCTTTCATGTCCTCTCTTTTTGGACACAGCTGGTTTGGACACAGCTGCTGCAGTTCATTTTGTTCCAGGCTTATGCCCGGAGCCTCACCTCTCTTTACATGCCCAAAATTTAAGGATCTCTCTTGTGCATGCGTGCTTTCACAAGTACACAGCAATAAATAAACCTTTGCCGATACTGCAGTCTGCTGGGAACGAGATCCAAGATGGTAACAGACTCCCTCTGTGGCAGGTTTTTGGTAGCACTTGCAGACAGATTGTTTTCTAGTTCCTACGGGAATGCCAGCTGTAATAGATATGCTGCGTACCTGACACCGAGGAGTGCTGCGAGGGGTGAGTGCTGGCCTGTCTTGCAGGTCTTCAGAAGTGCAGTTGTCCTCTCTTCTCTCCCACTTACCCCCACTGCATAGGACACTTGGCTTTAAAACTTTGCTACAGCACTCCAGGGGCAGCTCTCCTCTTTACAGCATGTCCTCTGGGCAACGCAGGCAGGGCTACCCTGTTTGGGTGATGCCCTTATTCCTCTGGCTCTCCGTATTTCTGGCTCTGTTCCTTTACCACATGCCTAAGTTTGTGTAAGGTGGTACAAGAGTAGCCTGGGTAGCCTCGGATATGTCTATGCCAGTAAACTAGAGCGGGCCAGGACACGGGCGCAAGCCTGGCTGTGACGGTGTGCTCTGTTAGGTAGCTGGCATGCTTTTCACCTGGTTTTCCCCTATGCCAACGAGCATTTTCCTATCCAGTGCCAGGACGTGAGTCGAGGCAGGGGATAGAGATCCTTCCCTCTGGGCAATATGAACCAGGTTACCCTCCCTGAGGAGGATGGGAGCTTAGCTGCATGGATGTAAGCCCCGCTGTACCATTTACCTGTCGGGGCAGAGATCAGGCCCTAGCATGTTCTGTTTAATAATACAGAAATACAGATTAAATGCTTGTTGTATGAAATTGAAGAGTTGATTTGCTAGGTGTCCTTTCAAGTCTCGTGTTGGATTTCAGTCATTTGAAAGTTGTTCCTATGTGGAGTTTAGCAAGAATTATCACTGGGATCCCAGATCACGTGGCAGGGCACTTCAGTCACAGAAAACAAGCTCCTTTCCTCTTTTTCAAAACAATAGCATTTCAAAAATTACTCCTGTAGGATTTAGATTTTCACAGAATGCAATCATAAAAAAGCGTTGCGCTGTGCAACAGGGGGAAAGAAAAAGGAAGGCAAAAATATTTAAGTGTGGCTTAGCAATATCCAGAGAATTAAAAAAAAAAAAAAGTAGTATGATGATGATAAAATGTTGGCAGCTTTTGATAGCTTGTAAGAACTTTTGGATAAATACTTAATGATCTTTCTATTAAATCCCACAGAGCCCCATGAATTCTTCTTGCAAGAGCTTTTTTTTTTTTTTTTTTTTTTTAAAGCATATACCAAAACAAACCCAAGATTAGTTGGGAAGCTGCGGTTTGTTTCTGCTTTGACAATCCCCAGACTCAACATTTTCTCTTTTCTTTTGCAGGCTGTGTATATGTTTTATGCTTTGGCAATTGTCTGCGATGATTTCTTTGTCCCTTCATTGGAAAAGATTTGCGAAGTAAGTATTAGAAGATGTTAGTTAAGCTTGTGTGCTGCTTTAACAGCAGTTCTTTTTTTTTTTTTTTTTTTTAATTAAAGCATATACCAAAACAAACCCAAGATTAGTTGGGAAGCTGCGGTTTGTTTCTGCTTTGACAATCCCCAGACTCAACATTTTCTCTTTTCTTTTGCAGGCTGTGTATATGTTTTATGCTTTGGCAATTGTCTGCGATGATTTCTTTGTCCCTTCATTGGAAAAGATTTGCGAAGTAAGTATTAGAAGATGTTAGTTAAGCTTGTGTGCTGCTTTAACAGCAGTTCTCCTTGCGTGCCTCAGAACATGATGATAGTGTATTTACTGTCTTAGAGCGTTCCCCATGCTTCTTGTTTAGTTGTTCAACACTGTGTGTGTGAGCTGACTCAGCTTTGTGTTCTCACTTGCAGGAGATGGGCTGGGAGTCTGCTCGTGGGTAAACTTGGCTGATGCTCCCTCTTAAAGCTAGCAGTCACCTCTCAGATAACAATTCCTATATACGCATCATACCACTTCTTAAAAATGGAGGCAATTTATAACACAGTGAAAAACATGTTCTCTAGATCAGTGATTCCCAAACTCAGCTCCATGCTGCAGGCTCCTTGGTGGTGCTAGCTGCAGCGCAGGTTTCCGGGTAATAAGCCCAGCAGAGCTTGTTAGCTTGTCCTGTACTCTGCTGCTCACTGCTGACGTGCTCCTGCCTCTCTGGCTGAGAAACCCTGCCCTTGAGGTAGGATCCAGCCATCGGAGACTGCAAGGGTTGGGACATTGTTCATTGTCCATGTAGGGAGCAGCGCTTTCGTTCAGTTATGGCTTCGGGCATGTCACTCAGTTCTCCTGGGATGATAACCTTTTATTTCTTGACTTCTGCATGGAAATACTGATCCATGGGGTGTTTCGGAGTTTCATATACCATAACTTAAAACTTAGAAACCTCCCAAGCATCAGGCAGGGAAAGAAAAAATGCACAAGAGTGTTTAGATGTGTTGGTATTTTAAAAACAAAACCAAAAAAACACCCAGGGGAGGGAGAGATGCCAAGCTCTCAACCGGCTGCCTGAGAGGTAGGTCCTGCCCCTGCTTGTGGTCCTGGCCCCATGGGACCCGGGGTGCTGTACCTCCCTCCTGCTCCTGCTGCCTGGCTGGTAAAGGACCTGCATGCTGCTGGTGCATTCACGTTAGGGCTTGCCGGCTCCTGGTGCAGCCAGTGACAGGGAGTGCTGCCTAGCCAGAGCAGGACTGCCCTGAGCAGACCCATGCCAGAGCTGGGTTTGGTCGCTTGGACTTTGGTTAGAATTGAAGTCTTGGTTTAGGTTCAGGACGCTGCAGATGTGCACTGCGCTTGCTTCCCGGGGCCTTTCGGCTTTGCTTGTGCCCAGCGCAAGAGTTCACAGGCTGATGGCTCTCCAGGTGCTCCAGCCGTTCATGCTGTGATAGCTCCTGTTGCTTTGTGTTTGTGTGTCTTTGCAGATGTCTCTTGAAAAACACTAGGCCCTCCCCTTAGCTGATGTAAATTAACACCTCTGGTGATTTACCCCAGTAGAAATCGTGGATCTTGTACCTTGCCTTCAAAGTCATGAGTTTCATACCTTGCATTGTGTTTGTATAAGTTGTAAAGCAGTAGGGGCAGCTAGGTCAGCTGTAAAGAAGCTCTTGAACACTTCCAGCAATTGCAAGGGACTCTGTCCCTCTTTTGCTAAGGTTGGCATGCTGAAATTTTAGAAGACAAGAAGTACATTTTAGCCTAAATCAGCTCAGACAGCTACAGGGTGAACACAGACCATGTGCCCAAAGTGGCTGAGAGCTCTCTCCAATGTCAATCTCGGGCAATGAAATCTTTGCATATAGAAAATACAGTTTGGACTTGCCAGTTAGACATCTCTCTCAGCTGGAGGAGATGCCTGGCAGTAAGTGTTGCTCATCAGGGAACGGGCTGTGCCTGTGCCGGGTCCTGGGAGGAGGTGTGGGAGACGGCAGGAGAAATCATTTGACAGCTCTGATGGAAGTTATCTCTAAACTAACTTGATATTTGTAGTTCAGTACCCTGCCAAACAAGCTTTTTTTGCATCATCATCATAAAAAAAAAAAAGTCCCCAGGAAATGCCACTATTTTGGTGCCTAAGTATTAAGGTAACTGAAGGGCAACAACAAAAGGCAGGAGCTTCTGTCCTGCAAAGTTGCTGCGCTCTCTAGGGCTGAATCTAGGGAAGGCCACTGCAAGGTTCAGGATGGGGGGAAACAGAGACATTGATGTGGAAGTAGGGATGGGAGATGCTGGAGATGTAGACATGCTGAGTTATTTAACCTCCCCTCTCCCGAGCAAGGGAACTCTGCTGGGAAACATGGGTCTACAAGGCCAGCTCAGGTCACTGTAGATGAACAAAACCTGAGCTGAGTAAGCAGTGTCCAGGACAGGCTTGTATTTTGCAGTGACATGGATATGCCCATGGGCAGGCCTGCCACCCAGAGGGACACAGGTGGAGCCAGGAGATTGAGAGAGATTGTTATTTCTCTTGACTGAGCACTCATTAAATCTCATCTATGAGTGTATTTTGATTAGTGGCCTTGCTTATGGCACAGAGGTCTGATCTGGGTCTGTGGAGCGCTAGCTCCTGTTACAGCTCTGCTATGGACTCCCTGAGTGACCTTGGACAAGCTCCATTGCTTCTCTGCACCTCTGTTTCCTGCACTGGTCAGTAGAAATGCTGGTCCTTGACTGTACTTACAAATCATGGTAGGAAACACCGTGCCGGTGTTAATGGTTTCTAACTTTACCGGTGGCAAACTTAGTTATCATAAACGAGAGGCTCACAGGCTGCAGAAGTCTCTCTCCTTTTACTGTCATTAGCTTTCTATAGGTGCAGGATCTGTGCATCTCTCCACCTGCCCCAGAAGCTTGGTTATAGAGGTACAAGTGTCAGAATTATGGTGCCATTTGTTCTTCTGACAAATTCTCAGATGTGTTGGGGTTTGTGCAGACATCTGATGTCTAAAAAGCAAACACCCTCCCCCTGTGACTTTAACATAGTATTTACAAGCCCCTGGGTCCTAGAAGGCTACTTTCACTTGACCAGATCTTTACTTTTTGGTTATTTGTTGTCTTCTCAATGGTACATAACAACAACTCATGTGCTTTAATGCTTCTAAACCATTGTGTTACCCAACACCACCAATAAAATAAGATGATAATAACAACAAGTTTTATTCAATTGTGTGAAAGAGAAAACTTAGCGATAGAACACTAGATCTAGCATACTTGTATTAAGCAGTTACTGTCCAGAAGAAAGATACTGTCATTAGCTATTATCAAAATGGGCCATATAAATGGATCAGAATTTTACTATTCCTATTGCTCCTAATTGATTCTCTCCCAGAAAAGTTTTTTCTCACCCCATAGGTGACCTTTGGGGGCATTCAAGTCCTTTTATTTATGTATTTTATGCATAATTAAGCAATTCTGTAATTACATGATAGCAAAGGAGATACACATTCCTGTTTCCTGATCCAACTACTCTTGATTTTATCAGTCCAGAATGGCTTGTCTTCAAAACATCCAGCTTTTCGTGGTTTGTCCTTGATGTTAGCACTCAAGAATGCGTGGGAAAAGGCTCGGGTCACTTCGCAAAGGCCTCTGCAGCCTTTGGTAGTATCCACTCTTGCCTATTTTTCTAGGAAAGGGAAGGTTTTATCGCTGCCCGATGACAGGAGGTGCTACAACCATTGCTCACACCAACCAATACTCTCCCCACATAAAGACCCCGTGAAATGAGTAGACTGACTTGGAGACCCAGGGCTGCTTTGTGAGGGAGAAGACCACCTGCTGAGTCTTCCTCCATCACCTGATGAGAAAGGGTGTTCACTTGTTTGTGAATACACAAAAAATAATAGAGAAGAGAGAGGGAGGGGGGAGAGAGCCCCTTGCAGGAACTCACATCTAAGAGGTTGTACTGGGTATGGCAGTACATGTAATGCGCTTAGCATGCAAACAACCGTAAATGGTAATGACTTGCTGCTGACTTAAGATCTACCATCAGTAATCTGACTACCGCCTACTGTTGTATCCAGCACAAAAGAATTCAAACCTCCTGCCTGAAGGCTTTTTTGGTCTTGGAGATCAAACAATAGTTATTCTACAGTTGCTCACAGTTTAGATGCACTAATTCTAAAATAAATGCCCTTTTTCTGGCTTAGCTTCATCTAGTTTGGAAAGCGGTTGTTGAGTTAAACCAACAAGGCATTTGCACTCCCAAATGTGTGTGTTGAGATGAGAATTTGTTCCAGAACACTTGCTATGGTAGATGTTCACATTCTGTCTTAGTTCAGATGTGCTTAAAATAAAGCCCTAATTTTCATTTGTTTTCTAAAACAGCTTGTACTTGTGTTTGCCCAGCTACTCTCTGTTACTGGTGTTACAGAGTGTTTACATGACGCAACTAATGTCATATGTCAATTGCAAACATTTGTCTGCAAATACCAGAGAATATATTTTTGCCTCCTACATAGGGTGCTGTATTTTCTGCTCTATTGTATTAACTTAATTGTCATATGCATTGCAATAAATTATCTAGGAACTGTCTTCGAGGGAACCTACTATAGCTTTAAATTAAACCATCCCCACAGAAAGTCCGGCACAGCTGGTTTCCTTGGCTGATGGTCTTTTCTTTCAAAAGACACCATCAAGTTGCAGACTGACTATTGTAGGATAACTGTGTCTGTATTTCCATAGAGAATCCTGTAGAAGAAACTGGTCTTTGGGGATCTACTTCTGGTCCTATGAACTTCTTCTACAATAGTTTTCATCTTATTTAAAATCATTTTCCATAAAGCTGTGTTTCATCAGGTTCCACAAGCTTTTATAGCAGTGCAGCGATGCCGTGATCTCTTGCTTAAAAAGCATTCCCGGTGAGGGCACATCTTTTCCTTTTTCCTTGTCCCCGTAACATATGTACAAAATTTTGTTATATGTGTTTGGTCAGTGGATAGAGTTTACCTTCTCTTACGGGCCTAGGATATCCTTTGTGGGATCTTCAATCCAAATAAGGTTGGTGGGAGGATTTCTGCAATTCTTGTCTCTGTGCAAATGTACTTTGGTAACGATAAAGTTGCAGAGAAACCCTGCAGCGCTACAGAGGGAAGAGGGGAGAGGAAGGCCTCCTCCGTCCTGCCAGGCTGGGTGTGCTGCTTCAGCCAGTTCTGCTAGTGAAACGTCCCCACCGCCCTCAGCTGTCTTCCCCTTGCTCATACAATGGCAGCCACTGACTCGCACGTGCATGAGCATGCCAGCTTTGCGTAGTAACAACTCAGCAGTTTATGGCTGTATGGCGGTGGGTGGCTTTTTTTAGCTACTCATTAAACCATGGAAGGTGCCAGCAAGGCATGTGGTCTTTAACAGCCTTGTCGCGTTTGCCGAACAGTGACTTGTGCAGATGGAGCAGTAGGAATGCAGAAAACATAAAGGAAGTAATTAGCCAAGTAAATCTTTGGAAACAGCATATGCCGATGAAGTTTTCATTAGAGTAGTGGGTCCTTTCCCTTCCATGAACCCCTGTTTTAGATAGTCCCTGGGCACTGCTAGGGGAAGGCTGTAGGAGGTAAGTATCTTTGATGGTGATCCAAGTGAAAAGGGGGCAAGGAGAGGTTAAATGTCCAAGGCTGAAATGATACCAGGGAAGGCGGCTGGGGGTGAACCAAGCCTGAGCTCCAGCCCTGCCCTTTGCAGGCCAAAGTAGATGAGATAAGGTGTGTATTGTTGGGGTCATGGAGGAGACAAAGAGCTGTGACTGGTGAAACTGCCTCGCTGTTGTCCAGAGTACTGCTCTTTCCTCTGTAAAAGGTATCACAGCCACAACCTGCCCTCTCTATAAGGAGAGGCTAACTTAAGTAGTCAATGCCTGTGATGACTTTTTCCCCTATGCTTAAACTTTATTAACATAAAACTTTATACGTATTGGCAGTTTCCCCCTTTTGGTGGACAGTTTAACGTTTCTAGATGAATTCCTTCAGCCTCTCGGTGTTGTAATCAATGACTCTGATGTGTTTTTCTGCAGCGCTTGCATCTTAGCGAAGATGTGGCTGGGGCAACTTTCATGGCAGCGGGAAGCTCTGCTCCTGAGTTGTTTACATCTGTCATAGGTAACTAACCTGCTGCTGCTTCTTGAAACCTCCGCGTTTCCCTGGCTATTTTTCAGAGTTTAAATGGGATTGCTAAGCACCTGTAACGTTCATTGTAATATCTGGCCCTTCCCTCGTGGGCACACATAGGACTAATTGTGGGGAACCCTCGCTAGATGAAGCATCTCTGAAAAAGTGCCATTGTCCCACAGCAGGGCTGCCTTGGAAGTGGTTTGATCTGACCCCATCAAACCAGGGCCAGTAGGCAGTTCACCTTAACTGTCTGTTAATCTACCTCGCTGTAGCACAGCCAAACTGCACAGCGCTGAGCTCTGCACGTGCAGCCTTCTCCCCTCCTATCTGCCCTCCTACGCTATCTGCCACGCCGTCTCTAGGATGTAGCGTGAAAGGATGCACCTCCAGCCTCCTGGGTTGGTACGCAGGCAAACTCTTTGTGTCCTCAGCTGCAGGTTCTCTGCTATGACCTCCGCTCTGGTTAGTCTTCTAACACCACTTCCATCTGGGAAAGCCAGAGTGGGGAGGAGAAGAGGATTTGAAATGCTTTCTCACAGCAACAAGTTGGTCAGAGCATCACACTACCAAAGCAACTCTGATTATGGGAAGTGTGATCAAGGGATTCAGCAGTCCTTAAGCGTGTGAAACCCGGGAAACTCGTGTGGTCCTTCAACAGCCTTGAGCTAAGAGGGGACTGCAGTCAGCTGTTATAAAATGATGCTGTATGTATACTACCTGGCGCAAGGGGAAAGTGTTCTTGCGTTTCACTTATCCACGTCTCTGTTGGTAGGTGATCGTCAGAGCAGCGGTTGGGACGTTAAGGTGGGCTCTCCATCACTGAGGAGAATTATTCTCAGCTTAGATACTTTCTCTAGAAGATAATTCTATTTCGGTCACAGCTATCAGATGCAGAGCACAAATTAATTCATGCAAAGCTGCATACTCTGTAGAGAAGTCCGATTACACAAGTAAAGCCTCAAAATGTAGGAACTTAATTTGGACCAAGTTGGGGATGTACTCCAGTTAAGGATAGTGCAGTAGCAGGGTGAAAATAAAACCAGATTCAGGTAGCTTAGAGAAGCCCTAATGGTCAGATCATTATCTTGCCGTGGTGTAATCCACCAGATACTGAGTGTTACTTGGCGGGTGACTGCTTCTGTGTAACATGTTTCTGAGGAAAGGATAAAGTGGAAAAAAATATCTAAACTACGCTGGCCGGATAAATACGGTTGGAACGTTAAAAGCAAATGGTGAATTTAAACAGACTGACAGCTAGCAGGAGATGGAGTGTTATTTTTAGGCTGACTTCCTAAGGAAAGAATTTTGTGCAGTACCATGATGCATGTGTCTTGTCAGTTCGTCTCCCTCACCATTAACCTCATTGGCCAATTTTAACCAAATTTGACAGAAGAGCTCTGAAAGGAGCTTGTAACGTAGCCCCATAACTCATCCTGAGAGGCATCATTCAGTTTGCAAGTAGCTAGTGGCCAGGCAGCTCTGAATCAGCTCCAGCTCAAGCTTCTACTTGCCTGTTGAAGCCGGTAGGGATGGGGGATATGGGGAAGAGCAGAGTACTGGTGAGGGGATTTCTTATGGGAGAGTTTCCTGCAGATTTGTATCTGACCAGCTGCTCCCACGGAGCTTACTGTCTTTCATGATGTGTATTGCCATAATGTTGGATCGCAAGACCAGGAGGCTGGTGACTTAAACATGTCTAAGGTATTTGGTTTTCATTAGACAGACTATCCAGGTCCCCTCAGAAAGCAAGTTCTGCTACCTTTATTCACCCTAGTACCGTTCTCTGAAAGTTGTCCTATTAAATATAAGAAAAACTGGCAGAACTGATCCATGCCTTTAGATTCATTAATGGGGTGTGAGGTCTGCAATTTTTTGTGGAAAAATTCTGCTCTTTCCAATTTACACAGCTTGCCTTGAACTTGTTTTTCAGGTGTTTTTATCACAAAAGGAGACGTAGGCGTTGGAACCATCGTAGGCTCAGCTGTATTTAACATTCTCTGTATTATTGGCGTGTGTGGGCTTTTTGCAGGACAGGTAAGAGCATTTAATGATTCCTAACAGTTCTTGCTTCATCCTGTGCCTTGGCTGTACTGTGAAATCAGCTGCCAGGTTCACAACCTTGCCACAAATTTCTCTGGCTTTGTTCTTTTTAATAGGGCCCTATGCTATTCCTCTTGTATTTTGAAATGAAAAGCAGAACAGCGAATGTCAACTCAGGCATTTTAAGGTGCCCAAGATATGTGGGTGGTCAAAGGAATAAAAGTTGGTTGAATTGAAAAATGCGTTGTGACGTTTGTATCTGGTTCTTAGACCAAAGGAGCCAGGAAATGTCTGTGCCTCTGGCTGATAAAAATGCACTTCGGTGAGCCGTGCAAGATGCCTCTGAAAGAATGATGACACTTCTGGAGCATCACAAAAGATGCTGCCTTTGTGCAAGATAGTTTCGGATACATGTGCTGAGCTGGCACAACGTTGTCGGTGACTGGCATGCCTTAGGAAGTTGTATAAGAAAGCTAACAGTCTTTGCTTGTAGTTTATCTCATTATTTATATCCGGAATCACAGAATGGTTTATGTGGGAAGGGACCTCTGGAGGTCTCTGATCCAAAGCCCTCACCACCCCAACCCCCCCAACTCAAAGCAGGGCTGATTTCAAAGTTGGATCAGGTTGCTCAGGACCTTGTCCAGTCAGGTTTTGAATACTTCCAAGGATGCCCCAACTTTTTTCCTCACTAACAGTAAGGCTATCCATTCCTGGTATAAGTTCTGACTGTTTTCCAGCGTGTCAAACTACTTATGACAACACAAGCTATTCATCTGAAATTAAAGTAATTAAGTTGTGAGATCTGAGCTGCTGTCTGAATTGCAGACATGATTGACTGTATAATTAAATATCTGAATCTGCATTCACCTTAGCACTTGCTAACATGCCCAGTATTTTTACGATCTCATAAAATGTTCTTTGGAATGTTACTGTGCAGATTTTCTTGTAAAGAGAAGCAGGATAACATTACCAATACAGGGCAATAGGATAAATAGCTCTGGAAGAAGAACTTGCAAGAAGGGGCCTGTATAACTTGGTCAGTATGAGAAAGCATGCAGAGAGATTGGGCTTTCCTGGGAAAGTTTGTAATCCAATTCTATTTGCATTAGCAATGAACTTTTTCAGGATGAAGGTGAACGTTTTCTCTATGGGGAGGCTTCAGGAAAAGCCCACAGTGGTACTTTTTAGCCACCTAAGCTCCCTTGATTTGCATGGGAACACGCAGCTGGAAGCTACACGTGCTCAATATGTTAGTGGTTCTACTGTAACTCTTGCTGTGAAAACCCAATTGATTCAGGCCAATTTTTAAATGACCAAAGCTTTCCCAGGACATGAAGCTGTGTTCCTCAGAGGTGTTCTCCTGTAATCAGTAGGACTTTTTGCTCAGGTTGCTTTTTTCAAGCAAATGAAGATGATTAACTGTTTAGCACGATGGCAGAAGAGCTAATTCTTCTGATTTTTACTCTCCACGGTATTGATTGCATGCCTCAAACCTGCTAAAAAACTAGCTACAAATCACAGCTTTCAGTGGAAAAGGTTTGCTAGAGTTTGGGGGTTGATGGAGAATGTCAGTCTTCTTGAGAGATGTTGTGGTTTAACCTCAGCCGGCAACTAAGCACCACACAGCCGCTCGCTCACTCCCCCCCACTGGGATGGGGGAGAGAATTGGAAGGGTAAAAGTGAGAAAACTCGTGGGTTGAGATAAAGACAGTTTAATAGGTAAAGCAAAAGCCGCGCACGCAAGCAAAGCAACACAAGGAATTCAATCACTACTTCCCATCGGCAGGCAGGTGTTCAGCCATCTCCAGGAAAGCAGGGCTCCGTCATGCGTAACGGTTACTTGGGAAGACAAACGCCATCACTCCAAACATCCCCCCCTTCCTCCTCCTTCCCCCAGCTTTACATGCTGAGCATGACGCCATATGGTGTGGGATATCCCTTTGGCCAGTTTGGGTCAGCTTTCCTGGCTGTGTCCCCTCCCAGCTTCTTGTGCACCTCCAGCCCTCTCAGTCAGTAGAGCATGGGAAGCTGAGAAGTCCTTGACTAGCGTAAGCACTACCTAGCAACAACTAAAACATTGGTGTGTTATCAACATTGTTCTCACCCTAAATCCAAAACACAGCACTGTACCAGCTACTAGGAAGGAAATGAACTCTATCCCTGCCAAAATCAGGACAAGAGACCATTTACAGGTGGGAGATGTTTGTTTCTGAAGGATATAACATAGCTGAAATGCTCTCGTAAATGCCTTCAGCCTTCCAGGTGTGGTAGCTTTCAGAAGTTCAGAGGGGGGATTGGCTGCTGTAAGTCATCCCAAGCATGGTCTGCGAGTCTCTTTCAAGCCAAGAATTGAGGGACAATCCAAAGTTGGACTGATGCGTCCCAACTTTGTTTTCCCTGACTCTGCTAGTGATTTGCGTGTGGTTTCATCAAGTCACTTAACTTCTGTTTGCTGCAGCTTAACCACAGAGGATGGGTGAGAACTGGAATGATGGACATCACTGCGTGGAATCATGATTTAAACAAGCAAATAGGAAACCTCAGTTTAAATAATTCCAATATTATAGATAAAACTTTCTTTCGGTTTGTGCTTTTCATTTTTTCCCACTCCCAACCTTTCACCAAAAAGTCATTCACTTTTACTGGTGTGATTCATCTTTTTGTTTTGTGTTAGTATTAATAGGAATTTGGTTTTATTATCAATAATTTCTCTGTAGATGCGCTAACGTAGGTGCTAAATTTGGTTGGCCGTTGGATTTCAATTCTGCTGGGGACCTGGATCTCAGTTTTGAGTTGCCTTGTAATGGGCCAGGTGAGCCTTGGAGGCAGGCTGTCAGTCTAAGCTGCTTGCTGTGCTCCAGCTCAGTTTAGAGCAGGGTTTTCTCTTTTGAGCTCAGACCTGCAGAGTCAGCAGCTGGAGTCCTCTAATTTTCAGATGAGACCAGTGAGTCAATGGGCAGGGATTTACCAGCCGAACTTTGCTGTCTTGTGGGCCTCCCCCGAGGCTGCTCAGGATACAGGCCTGTTTTCTGGGACTCCTGCCCTGGAAAGCGTTGTTCGGGCATCTTGGTTCAAGGCTGGAAGGCTTACGGGTTTGTCAGGTGGGAAGAGAGAAGCAGAGAACTAAGCCTGTGCCTGTGGCAGTTTCAACCTGATGAGGCTCATGTGGCCTTCGTGTTCATGAAAACCTGTTGTTAAATGCTCTGCGGTTGGGAGGTGGCTGCTGCAAATTGCCAGTGTGGACAAGAAGGGTTGATGCTCTGTTCCCCCTCGTGTCTGTTTTACATGTGGGATGCCTCCGGCAGGGGAGGGACAACTTCAGGATGATCACACCTCCAATTTTCACAAGGGGAATTGCAGAGGGGGTGGAGGTAATCTCACCCTGGCTTTCCTGTAACACCTGCCAGCAGTAGCAGCGGTGTTCCAGCAGGAGCTTTTATGTGTTGATGAGAGCAATTTGCAGCTGCAGTTGTGGTAGCATGTTGGGATCCCGCTAGCTGGTCAGTACCCGGCAGCATGAGCTGCTGTTCGGATGCTGGGTTGCCTGGAGATGCCAGCAGTCCAGGAGGTGGATGGAGAGCAGCACAGGCAGCAGTGCTCAGTAAGCCGTAACTCTGGGGCAGGGCTGCTTCATCCCCTCCTGGGGTGCTCAGCTCGGAGCTGGGGGAGGAAATGCGTCTGTGCTGGAGATTATGGGGCAGCTGCCTCGTGGCAGAGAGCTTGGGAGTGCTGTATTGCCCACAGGTTGGGAAACCCAGAACTAAAACCTGCAGGGGACTTCTGCAGCATTTCCATAAGCACTGTTTATTTTTTCAGAACTGTTTGGTATCATGAGAAAGCCTTTTTGTTTGTGTGTTTGTTTTTTGAGTGGTAAAAGGTTGGATTAAAAAATACTGACCAGCTCTTTCCAGGATATGTTTTATTTTTAAATTAGGTTGTAGTATGCATGTGCTATGTTCGATGTATTATTCTTTGGCTTAAGAAAATACTGGGTTTGGCTACATGCACCTTGTTTAAAAAAAGAAACAAGCCCACAGCCCCGAAAAGCTGGTATGCATTTACTTGAACACCAACTCTAATTATTTTTCTAAACCTTTAATGGCTGGTAAGTGCACACTTCTCAGAATAAATGAGAATAGACATCCCACTGCTGGAACTGGAGAAAGAAAGTATGATGCCCACACTTCTATATGACACTACACACCTAAAAACTGCATTAAAAGAGCATTGTTAAAGTTGAAAGTCAAACACTGAAAAGTTAGAAAATAGCAGTGTTAAGGTTCCTTGTGCAACCTTAATTTGCCCCCCTGGTGTGTATGCATTATTATACAGTCTTTAATTACAGGATCCCATGCTGGTTTCTCCACAGGGTCCCTGCCTCCCTCAGTGCGCAGAATGGACTTTGCTCACTTAATGAGCAGCTATTCATTATTTTGTTTTCTCTTCATTGTTCAGTGTGTGCCCTTCTGCCTTATTTACCAGGCTCTATTCAAGCCCTGTTCCAGAGGCAGAATTATTAATTTCTTCTTGAACTTCTGCCGATCTCATCGCTATTGTGTCTGAGCAGTTGATGAACAATTAATTAATTTTCCCCAAACCTCTGTGAGATGAAGGGATGTTTTAAAGATGGGGAAACAAAGCACAGAGAGATTAAATACAAAAGAATAACTTGTCATTTTAGGGGCCAATTAGAGCTGACACAGGCCCATTTTTTCCCCTGAATGTATAGCATCCTGTAGCATGTTCTTTGTTCAGAGGGCAGCTCCCGATGTCTCCAGATGCTGCTCGCGCTGCTCCTGCTGCTCCACCTTAACATTGCACAAGGGTTTCATTGCTGGGCTGACCTTGGTTTAAGCGGTCATCTCAATGTCCATACACCCCAGCTCTCCTTGGGAGCATTCGGCTGCTTTAGCCATATGAGTCCGTTTTCTTCTCCTAGGTCCCAGCTCATGTTCCACCTTCTGCAAGGGACACACAAAACGCCTCTGTCG